GTCTACACTACATTGCTTGGCTTCTATACACAGTTTGCTTGCTGCTACAAAGATACGTTTAGGGACAAACTCTTGCATTAATATACCTTTAACTCTCCCACAGAGCAAATCCAGGAGCCTGCCATCTTCACAAGGCAAGGTGAGGATGCTGAAGTGTTTCTGTCTGCCCTCTTGTCCTTGTAAACGTGCTCTTTGACTTGAGCCAAAGCATAAAAAAATTGGTCCTTCATTTTACCTTCTTAAGCTGTGAACCTAAACCGTGTGGGCTGAAGAGTAGGGTATGCTCACACCTCAAGGTTTTTCCTTCATGAATCTGCACAGCCCGGCTGAATAAAATCCCCACACTTCCTTTGTCTGAAGAAGACATTAAGTCGGAAATAATTCAGCTCCTCTGCCTGCCAGCAACAGATAAATCTTTCTTGCTCCTATTTGCCTGTCTTGGGGTCTTCATCCTCCATGATGCAAACCCACTGAGTCTCTAGACTCACACGTAAGTACTCCTAGCAGGTGCCTTTTTGCTCGGGGTCATCTCTATGTGTCTGTGCCTCACCCACTTCCACTCTTGTTCCCAGTGTCCTCAGAAAGACTCTTTTCCCACTTCTCCAGCTGGGCTCTCAGCTCTCCCTCTGAGATCAACATTAGGGTAAAATTCCCAGAAACAGGGAGTCCCTATGCTCTAGGCTCTGCCCTGAGAAGCTAAGACAAGTGCTTCAAGACTGGGAAAGGATCTTTATCAATGATGTGATACCAGAAAGCATGGAGGTCCTGTGTGCTAAAATCCGTCTACAAACTGCATCAGTGTGACAACGTCACACTGGAGAGCTACAGGATAGGTTTCTGGCTGTGTTGGTCTAGACGATCATCACTTGAGCCTTCACCTCAGGATCTACCCCAGGGCTTCTTTGATGACCACCAACTCTCTGGTGCTTAAGTATTAGTTTTAGCCTTTTGTCATAAGACGACCATCAGTTAGCCCCATGGCTTCTGAAACCCAAGGCAACTATGGGGAAGAGAGATTCGGGAGAGCTCAGAAAGAGCAGAAAGAAATAAAATGGGGTAGGAATCAAATCCACATAGCCAGACCATTCTGAGTCTTTCTCAGAAGCCCCGAGGAAAGGACAAAGGAGCGGAGCTCTGTCCTTGCTCAGGAGCAGACTTGGCAAGGCTAGTCTGGGGCTGAGGCATGGACCTTGAAGGGGTTCACTTGGCTTTCTCCCCGTGAAGAGACTGGAGTTACCAGTCCCAAGGCTGTCTCAAGCTGTCTCCGACAGCTCTTGAAGTACCCTGTGTTCCCTTTGTGCAACAATATTTAGTCTCCCACTCCTGACTTTGTCCCATAGTGTAACACGGTCTGTCCCATCTCTCCCCTGGTAACAGGATATAAAAGTGCCTTAATTATTAGTAAGTTTGCTTGGCATAAGACCACGCCTGTGCTGGACCTTTCACCCCAGCTCTTATCTTCTCTACCTTTCTCATCCCCTGGCACCTCCAACTCAGGACCTGTCACTGGAGAAGGACTAGCTAGTCTATGTCAGTCCCGCATCTGCTGAACAACAAGCTTCAAGAGGCTGAGAGAGGAGTCACAATCTGTCGTGTAGACACAGTGCTCCGCTCTCCAGGCACGATCAGAATCCTTGCATTGAGGCGTCCCCGTACCAAAAGCAACAATGCAAGCTCTAAGCCTGACTTCAGGGTTGGTGTGGGGCTTTTGGTGGTGGTCGATGGATATTTTGTTTGAGACAGGGTCTCAATATGTAGCTCTGGCTGTCCTGGTTCCTGCTACATAGAACAAGCTCACCTTGGATTCACATAGATTTGTCTGCCTCTGTCCCACAAGTACTGTGATTAAAGGCATGCGACATCACACCAGGCATCTTCCTGGTTCAGAATCCCAGCTCCTTCTCTTGACCCTTATAGGGAGTTAATGTTAGCATCTAGTTACCGTGCAGACTGCAATACACACAGCAGCCTTGTGATGGCTGTCGATTTTCAGGAAGAACTCAGACCCACCGAGGGTATACTGGCACCTCTCCCAGGAGCAGCAAGTTCTAAAATATCTCCAGCATGGACTAAAGATGGCCGCCTGGTTTAAGATCACAGCATAGATCTTTGGAATCAGCCCTATAGCAGGCATGGTCTGGGCCATTCTCACTCTGACAAGTTTTCATGATCACACATGGTGTGGCTGGCAGCCCAGACAGACATGGCTATTTTGGCTTCTGTTGACTGGATTTTTCCTCTATCGTGAGTTATGCGCTCCAGGGCCTGGATATCAGCTCATCTAATTGGAGGTGGTGGCTGACTGTATGCCCTGTCAGTGCCCGCTGGCATCCCCTGGTGGACGATCAAGGTTAAGCCTACCATCTGGGTCAGGAAGGAAAAGATATGGTTAGGAAGGGAACAAGGAGCTGTGTGGATCTTCCTAGCTGGCTTTAGAGAGTTGTTTTGTGAATCTCCCTGCTGTCCCCCCCCTTAGGCAAATGATTTACTATGATGTAAGAGGTGGCATTGAACACAACAGCTCTGACCTTCAAATGGACTCAAAAAAGGCCTGACTGATCAGCTGGACTATTGTCCTGCCTCTCCATTGCTCTATTTCTTTCTGTACTTATTTTATGAAAACACTCATTACTAAAGAACTAGATTCTTTCCTTTAGGATCTGCAATTCCAACATGGTCTAAGGGTTGGAATCAGGCAGTGTGATAGTCAAGCCGAATAAAGAAATTTGTGTTTTCACTAACCTCTCGCTTAAGCTCCTAATGTCCATTAGGAAAGCAGACATCAAAACATGGCAGCACTAATATGTGTCTCTTATCACTAGAGTCCACAGACAGTCCCATTACAGATACCTTAAATTGCAGTCGTACGTACACGGCTCTGAAACTGTGCCAATAGACACAACCCCAGATACTGTACCCTTCAAAAACTGAGCTTCCTTTGAAATCTTACACATTTTATTTGGTGTATTTCTCCAGAAAGCCGAAAGCACATGTAATTTTGCAGTTCTGTTGCTGTGGATCATCAGTAGACAGTCTATCTTAGGGTATCTGTTGCTGTGATGAGACAGCATGGCCACAGCAACTCTCATACAGAAAACACTTCATTGGGCTGGTTTACAGTTCAAAGGTGTAGTCCATTGCCATCATGACAGGAAGCATGGCAGCCTGCAGGAGACATGGTGCAGGGGAAGGAGCAGAGAGTTCTACACTCAGATCTACAGGCATCAGGAAGAAAGAGCAACACTGGGCCTGGCTTGAGCTTCTGAAGCCGCAAGGTCCACCCCCAGTGACACACATCCTCCAGCAAGACCACACCTACTGCAGCAATGCCACACCTCCTAACTTCCCATGAGTCGTTGGGGGCCATTTTCAATCAAGCCACCACACACACAATATTGCAAGTTGTCAAAGGTATGAGGTTTCCCTACACCCTCATCCTGAGCTCCACCCTGACCATCCACTAGGGCAGGTGGCAGCTGATGGCTCAAGTAACAAGGTTCTTCTACCTACGAGCAATCCTGTTCCACATATGTGACAGCACGGAATCCCGATGTCACACAGAGAGATGTTCTCCGAGGTCATTTAGAATAACTGATCAGGAGCACATTGGGGCTGCTTCCATCTTCTGAAACTTCAGGAACAGAATCTCAGAGCTTCTAGACTGAGCCACATTTTCACCCTGCCAGAGGGCCAATGCTGTGCCTTGGTGGCAGAGTGTTTAAGAGCTAGAGTGCACGAGAGGCTGTGCCCCAGTTCACAGCACCAACCAAACAAGAACAAAGACCAAAGTGTGTAAATGCAGTGTGAGATCAAAGGAACCATCATGTACTCAGTCATGTCCTAAGAACAATAAAGCATTCCAACACGGACCTCATTTTATTTTGAGTAGGGAAAGTGGTCTGTGAGTCTGAGGAGAGAGAGAAGGCTGGGGTGACGGTGGACAAGCAGGAGGTGGGAAGGGGAGTCAGGAGAACGTGGAAGCAAACTTCAGGATGCGAGGAAAACACATCCCTCCGTCTGGCTGCTAGTGCTCCTGTGACTCTCCCGGGGTTTAATTCCCTAGGACCAGTTTAGACTTCCCAGTTCTCAAGGTAACAGTCACATTACTTCCCCAAATACTCGTGTGTGTGTGTGTGTGTGTGTGTGTGTGTGTGTGTGTGTGTGTGTGTAAGGAGATTTAATGCATATATTAGGTTCATTTGTGTTGGGGAGGGGATCCTGTTATTCCCCACCCCACAGAGTTCTGGGACCTTCCTCAATACCTGGACTGTTGTATAACAGACGGCAGTTTGTCCTAGGAACTATTTTCAGCCTAGAAGGGAAAACTGTAGTGGCGTGAGGACAATTTCTTGTCAACTTAAGTTTCTTTCTGGGAGCTGATTCCCCTGGACTCGCAAGACTCAAATTGCTTCCCAACTCTGGCGTTCCGTACCATTCCTCCGGGACATCTAAGGCTGGCTATCCTGGTCTCACACATGGTAAAAGCAGACTCGTGATGCTATGCCCTCTTCTGCCGAGATGGTGAGCTGTAAGGGCCCTCGGACTCTGATTGTGGAAAGAGCTCTTCACCTTTTGGACCGTCCCCTACATCTACTGAAAATGGAAACAATCTGTACACTGCCTGATGTTGTTTACCTCCCTAAAAATCTTACCGCTGCTTGGGTGTGTGTGTTGGGGTGCTCTAAACCGAGGGGTCCCGCTGCAATCGTCGGCCCGGCCGGGAGGGGGCAGCAGGTTCCAACCCTGCGCTCCCGGGGCCGACGCAGCAGAGGCGAGTTCCTAGTGTCTTGGCTACTGCAGCTCGCACCCTTCTCCTGGACTGGGGACAGCCTAAGGACGTGGGATCGGACCAGGCTTCTCTCTAACCAGCTCCCGGGAGGACTAAAACGCAGTCGCAGTGTGGGAGTGCGCCGGCGCAGTACTGCTTCCTGAGTGAGGTACTGCGCTTGCGCGTCTCGCTCTTTTTCCGCCTTCCCCAGCTGCAGCAAGGGCAGGTGAGCTGTACCTCCGTCCCATTAAGGAAACTTTTCTTGCAAAGGCACGAAAATAAACGGGTCTTTGCTGAGCATCTGCCCTCTCCTTCATTCTCGTCTTCACAACAAAAAAAACAGTTCAGAGGATCTGAGGAAGGAAGGAAGGAAGCTGTCCTCCTAGAGATCTTTGCTGGTGCATCCTGCCAATATCCTGAATTTCTGCCTTCCTGGGGCCCTATAACTCATCTGCCTTCTACCCTCCCGGAGGTGGGGTGTGGTGGTTAGGTAAGGGTCATCCAGACTTCTTCACTAATGGCTTTCATGCCCAGGTTGCTCAGAGGTAGGCAACTGTTTTATTTTTGTGTGAAAATGCTTTGTGTATAATTACCCACAGATCTCTTAGTGGGGTTGACTAGATTCTGGAGGACTTGGAATAGGGCAAGGCATGGATTTGTCTTTTAGTTTTGTGTGTTAGCAGTCAATTATTTTTTTTGCTGCATTGCGCACGGGATGCTTTCTGGCCCAGTATCAGAACCAAGCCTTAGTCTATTGCAGGAACATGCAATGAACTTTCCTCCTTCGAACCTCATTCCCTTCATACTCTTACACCCTTAATGCTTTCTCGTGGCTTAGGCTTTTCCTCTGCCACCCAGAAGAAGATAGAAAGATCATTGACTTGTGAATTTTCTCAGTGAGCAAGGGTTGGGAATGGATTTGTGTTAGCCTCTTTAGAACAACACTCTGTTGTCTGTGGAGATGAAGGAATTGTGGGGTCCCTGACAGTGTAGCCAGGGGTGGAGGGGAGAGTAGACGGCTACTGCGGCTACTGTGTAAGTTCACACAGGGTGTGTCTCTGAGCCTCCCAGTCACTCATTCACTCAGGGCAGTGGGCTCCCTGCTGTGCGCAGATGAGCTAGTGTGGGTTTGCCCTCCGTGGGCTTGACTGGCTGAGGAACGAGAATTGGGCAGGCCGCACACCACAAACAGTTTTACACCAGATTAAAGGAATTTGTCCCTAAGAGGGTCCCAGGAGCAACTGGGAGACTCAAGAAGGTGAAATCACTTTTCACACTTTTGGTAAACTTAGAAGAAAGATTAAGTCCTCAAATTATATCCAATGATGAATGATCTGTCTTACCAGCATTGGACTTGTAAAGATGGGTGTGTTCCTGTGAGACACCTCATTCTATATCTCAAATCCTACACACACACACACACACACACTTACTTGCTGCTACCCTAGGGCTGTGACTCAGGGAAAAGCATTAAGACCACCCAACCCTCCATCTTCTAGAGGCCCAAGCCAGGGGCCAGTAGGAGAGTCATCCTTGTAACTTCCCTGCCTTTCTCTTACACCCCCAGGCTGTGTTCTAAAGGCTGAATCTCTCACCACCCTGCTCTGCTTTCATTGTCCTTTCTCTAGGGCAGGTGGCCCTCATCAACCAATTGGTTTAGTGCATTCATGCAACCAATATCTGTCCCTGCCTTTCTTAGGGTCCACTCTCACAGCTAGGAAACATTTGCTAGAATTTTAGTCTGTAAGGCTTGCTTACTTAACCCTTCACTGACCTTGGCACAAGAGCCACAGACCCCCTTTACAGGGCTGATGTGAGTGTAGGTAATAGTTCTGAACAGATGCTCTTTTCATAGTCTTTCGGTTTTTTAAGATTGCCATTACTTTTTAACTATATGTGTCTCTGTGTGGGTTTGTGCACGTTGAGAGTACTTGCCCTCGGGTATAAGGGGTTCAAAGGAGGTCATCAGATCCTGTGAGGCTAGACTTACAGGCATTTGTGTGTTGTACACCGTGGGTGCTGGAAACAGCACAGATTCCTGACCAACTCTCTCACCCTCCCTCTATTTGGATTTGATTTTATTTGCAAGCATGCCTCGAGTTCTAACTCCCAGAAGTCTTTGCACAAGTTCATTCATCTGCACGGAACAGTTGGCCACTGTGCTTATTCCTGCTTTTCCCAGGATCCCGGCTGGGACCTTGCCTTCTCTGGACATCCTTAGGCTCCAATGTCCATCGTACCTGTCCTCCTGGGGACTCTTCACCTGGTGCTTCTCCCTGCTCTGTGGTACTGTAGAGAAGCCTGTGTCTACAACCTTTCCAAAACTGCTTCCTCAGTACAGAGATAGCATGCATTGATAATGCTCGATAAATACTTGTTGAGTGGGAAGGGAAGGGAAGACAGTCTTCACTGACTGTCCAAGTGACAGATTTCTTCTGCATCAGGTGTTTTCCTGGTGTACTGAAACAGTAATGGGCTTAAAAATAGGAATGACAGTGAAAGAACATTACTGCACAGCTAGTATTTGTTTTAAAGGGCACCTTTATGTTTAATTGACACACAGTAATTGTAGTACATATTATGGGATAGAGTGTGGCATTTCAGCATCATGTATATAATGTTTAATCAGGAGAGTAGGGTAACTGGCATAGCCATTACCTCAGACGTTTATTATTTCTCCTTGCTGGGACCTTCCAAACTCCTGTGTACCTCCTGTTGAGGAATCTGGTAGTTGCCAACCACAGCTATCCCACTGTGCTGCAGGACATGACACACTGTTCCTCCTTTACAAGGACACCGTGTACCCCTTAACGTCTCCCTCCTCAAACCGTTTCCAGGCTTTCATAACTATTTAGCTTCCACGTGTAAGTGAGAACACATGGGATTTGTCTCTCTGTGCCTGGACTAATTAACGTTTATTGAATGCTCAGCATGTGCCAGGCGCTCTTCTGGTACTGTAACTCATTCTGAAGTGAACCATGCAAGCTAGACATTTATAGTTGTGAAATGGAGGATTCGGTAATGATGGGGCAGTTGAGCATGCTCCTGCTTTCACACAGCTGGGGAGCCTGGGTCCCGGCGAGGCCGAGGCATGTGGCCTGGTTTATTCCTGTGTGGTGGTGAGTGAGTAGACTTTCTGGGAGATGCTCGTCGGGCAGTGCAGTGTGAGTCACGGGGGTGGGGGTGTGTGTGAAGAATCCACTTCGGAAGGGCTCTGAGGCACATCTCTTCCGATGCCTGTTTGCCGTGTCAAGACCAATAACTCCGTTCTCGGCGGTGGTAGTGCCTGGCCTCCAGCACCGGGACTTCCCTCACTCTGCAACCTTGGCTGTGTGTGGTTCGGACATTGCTTGCCTTCTCCGAGCCTCCGTTTCCTCACCTGGGAAACCCAATGATAGCAGCTCCCTTGTCAAGTGTGTGTGGCGACTGACTGGGTGATAGAGAATCAGGTGCTTCTGTCTCCGAAGAATTGTCTTTGTTTCACCCTGAGTTCCTGTTTCTTCAAAAAAACAAAAAAAGCTTTCTCCATTTGTTTATTTGCTTAGTTTTCAAATTTTATTCTAGTTACTTAGGCACTTCCTACCCGCACAGATGGGGGTTTCACTATGGGTGTCCTGGAACTCATTGTGCAGACCAGGGAGGCGTCAGACTCATGTATATTCACCCACCTGGGGTTGAAGGTGTGTGCCACTATGCCTCACCTAATACGTTCTATTTGGGTGTGTGTTTGTGTGTGTGTGTGTGTGTGTGTGTGTGTGTGTGTGTGTGTGTGTGCGTGTGCGAGTATGTACTTTTATTTTTATGTTTTTGTTCTGTTTGGATTTTACCACAGCCTATTTCTTCTCTAGTTTTCTGAGGCTTTTGTTTTGTTTTGTTTTAATGTTTTGGGGTATTTTGGTATATGTATGTTTACACACCAAGGGAGGGCCTGATGACCACAGAGGCCAGAGAGGCTGCATTAGATCCAGAAGGGGCTGGAATTAACAGACAGTCATGTGTTGCTCTGTAGGTTCTGGGGATTGAACCCTAATCCTCTGGAAGAGTGGTCTGCTTTCTTAATTACTGAGCCTTCTGTCCAGCCCCTATCATTGTCATCATTATTTCTTCAATACTTGTTAGGCCATCAAATATTTTTGAACTCGGGTCCTTCCTATATGTTATGCTCCTTGGTGCCACTTCTTGGGCACAGATGAAATCTGTGTTAGTTCTTTGTGCAAATATGAGGATTCTTTCAGTGTTGCCTTATCTTCTGTGACATCCTCTCTTTCTCTGTGTTTGTTTTTTGGTGTTTGTCTTACTCTGTAGCCTCACTGGCCAGGAATTCAGTATGTAAGTGAAGTTGGCCTTGAACTCCTGGAAGGCCTCCTAAAAGCATAGACCACAAGCATGAACTACCACACTTGATTCTAAATGACTCTGAGATCAGCTTGACACCTTCCCCATTCTGAGTCAGTCTTCTGAGAATGATTGATCTAAAAGAAGAACAGTGAGACAATTAAAGCAGTGCACGAGAGAGCTAGGGATAAAGCTCAGCGATGGAGCTCCTGCCTGGTATGTGCAAGACCTGGATTAAATCCCCAGTGAGCACACACACACATTTTCACATGCGTACACACACACACAGAAAAGTGGCACAGGAAACTTAATATACCATTACCTTTTTCATATTTACTAACATCATTTTTCCTATGGAAAAATAGATGTAAAAATGTCAAAAGCCTGTGATTACAGAGGTCTTAGGCGACAGGGAGAGTTTATTGCTGTTATTCTGATAAAAGGACATGGTATTAAGTGGCTGCTAATATTTATCCCTGTACCCATAGGTTATCGTAGCTTTCAACCCCCTTCAGGGAAACTTCTCACAGTAGTCAGTAAGTAACACAGACTCACAACTGGTCAACATGCAGAGAATAAGACTGAGGAACGCTAAGCACTGAATGGGATGTCTGTCATACCCCTCCCCCAAAGGCCCAGGGATCAGCTAAGAAGGGGTAGAGAGACTATTAGAGCCAGAGGCCGCTGAGGACTGCAAACAGTGTTATCCAGACACAGCAGGATGAACCCACAGCAATTCTTACAGCATGCATGAGGCCTGGGCCAGCTCAGGCCAGACAAAACCCCAGTATGGCGGTGGGGAGATGGATGGACACAAATTTCTGCCCTCACCTGAGGAGCTGTGAGCATGTGATTGCTGCTGGGAGGGAGAGTCAGTCAGTTTTCTTAAGGATATGACTCTTGGTAGGTCAGCCACTTTCTAGGCCTCATACCCAAGATTATTTTACACAAATTGGACTTTATGGGAGGGGGTGTACAAAATTGGGTGAGTAAAAAAGCTGGTGGAGCTGGGAGGAGCTGGGGGAGGAGGGAATATGTTAAAAATACATTATGTAGGATACTAATACATTATTATTACTAATACATAAAAATATGTAGGATAGTATTTAATAAAAATACTATTTAAAAAGCATCCATTAATATAGAATTTAACAAGCTGAAGAATTACATCACATCTCATCTACATCCCTTGCTTGGAGAGACATGGGAGACAAGGTCATGGCCTATGAATCCACAATCAGCTCTAACAATGGTTCTCAAGCTTTCTAATGCTGTGACCCCCAACCACAAGTTATGCTACTTCATAACTAATTTTGCTGCTGTTATGTGTTATAATGTAAATATCTGCATCTGCAGGTGGTCTTAGATGACCCCTGTGAAAAGGTCATTCACCCCCAAAAGGGTAGTGACCCACAGGTTGAGAACAGCTGATCTAGAGGTAAGATTCCTTATCTCCTGAGGCCATCTTCTGTTGCATTTTGGGTAATTGTAGGCAGGGTTTCAACAGAAACCTCTCCTTACCACTGGAGCGTCTCTGCCTGTCCAGTGATTCAGAGCGAACAGTTAACTGTGGGGAAGGGCGTCATGCTAAGGCACAGTGATTCTCTGTTGATTACAAGTGAATGTTGTAGTCACTGACTGGGAAGCAAATGGTCAGAGTGAATCCTTATGTAGAGGAGGCAGAAGCCACCCACTGCAAAGCTCTCGAAAGACCAAGTCCGAAGAGCTGGTGAAGATGTAATTAAGAGCAGGTGCAGAGGACGGTGGGCCCAGGTGGTGGTGTGTCTCATAGGTTGAGGGGAAGAGGGCCTTGAAAGCCAAGAAGCAAACAGGAGCTGGAAAGTCTAGTCAGCCCCCTCAGAGCAGGTCTTATTTTGAAACTGTAAACAGCTCAGGGCATGGCAGGTCTTGAAGATGGGCAGCATGAAATTGGCTAAGGTCCACCCCCTACGTGTGTGTGTGTGTGGTGATGAGAAAGGAGAGAGTGTCTGGGTGCTACAAGAGGTCAGAACTGAACCTCCTTTCTTTGGGGGCCAGAGAGATCCCATAGTTTTGTGGGATACCTCTCATTCATGCACACATTTGGTCTTCAAAACACTGTATAACGTGCCCTCGCCCTTTCTTTAGGCTTGCATCCTCACCAATGGACCTGCTTGGTTTTGGTTATGCAGCCTTTGTGACAATTGGAAGTATTTTGGGATATAAGCGAAGAGGTAAGCCTTTCCCTCTGTCCCTCTCCTCCTCCTTCTCTGCCTTCCTTCCTGATACAGTGTCTCCTGTAGCTCAGGCCAGCCTCAAACTCACTACTGACCTCCCAAGTGCTGGGAATACAGGTGGCCACCACCATGCCCTGCACACATTCATCGAAGGAACTTAGTGCAGAGTTGGTGACCGTAGTGGGGAGTTATTGGCTGTGTTGCACTCTCCTGAGGATCTGTGACCAGGACAAGAAGCTAAAGATGGCTCAGAGGTGGCTGAGAACCAGCATGCCTTAGGAGAGAAGGGAGTTACATGGGACCAAGCGTGGCAGAGCATTCTTGTTTTTCCACAAAATAATTTCACTAGCAATTATAATTAATCTAAATAATTAATATAAATAATTAACTAATTAATCTTCTTCAAGGCAACTTGCTCTTCACCCCCATTTACAAAAAAAAAAAAAACATCTTACTTAAGGATACTGTACTTATAAGGATTCTATACTTATAAGGATACTTACTAAGGATATTATAAACAAAGAAGATGCAGAAGTTACAGTCTTTTCTGGTCCTAAGAATGTTATATTTCATAATGTAGCTACTACTAATGTTATTGTTTTTATATAATTTATCTTACTTCTATTTATTCTGGAAAATAATAATGGATCTTTTAGCCTCTGAAGGGCAAATCATAATTTCTTAACCCACAAAATAAATAAAAATATAAAGTACTTAATTACTTATATTTTATAGTTATAAATATTTATACCTTTCTGAGCTTCACTGTCATACTTCTGTGGTTTTATAGGCAGATTCTTTTGTTAATAATTAATTGTTTTTTGTTTTTGTTTTTAGAACAGGTCTCACTATGTAGCATAGCTGGCCTAGGACTACTATATAGATCAGGTTGACCTCGAACCCACAGAGATCAGTTTGCTTCTGCCTCCTGAATTCTGGGATTAAAGGTGTATGCTACCACACCCAGCCTAAAAAGTAAGAGCATTAAAAAAAGAATTAATTATAGGCAGATCTAGTCTGCTTGTGGAGTATTTTAGAGAGTGCCCTGTGGTCTAGAGAGAAGAATGTGTATTTTGCACGTGTAGGATAAGATATTCTGAAAAACTCTATAAAAATCCATTTGACCTATGATGGTGTTTAATACGATTCCTCTTTGTAGTCCTGGCTGTCCTGGAGCTCACCGTGTAGCCCAGGCTGGCCTCAGATTCACAGAGATCCCTCTGCCTCTGCCTCCTGAGGGCTGGGATTAGAGGTGTGCACCACCATGCCTGGACTAACTCTTAGGCATTTGGGATTGTTTTCTGACTGTGGTTGTCTTTTGTTTTTTGTCTCCCCTGACAGTGTGGGGGGTGGGGTTGCTGGTGTGCTGTTGGATGAGATAGATTCCTTCCCAGCTCTCCTTGTTCATCTCCTCCTGTCATGAAGCTTATCCTTCCTTTGTGACTGAGCCACCTTCTTCCTCCTCTGTCCTATAACTGACAGATTCTGTCCCCCTCTCCAGACTGCCTCTGAAGATGACACCTGGTCACTGCTCTCCAAGTCATAGAATGACAGAATGGGATTCCTCCTTATTGCTGTCTGTGTGACAGAAGAATCAGTGTCCCACCAAAACTTAGAACTAGGTTTGAGACCTGTGAGGACACTGGGCTTTCCACAGGGCTGCCTGGCTTTGATTCTGTGTTGTAAAATACATACATATATATATATATATATATATATATATATATATATATATATGTATGTATATATATATTTACTGTTGATATATCTTTTGATAAAGCAGCTGTTAATCCTAAACAGCTGTCTAATCAAATCACCACACAGAGACTATGATTTATTTAGTTAACCTAGATCACAATGCTGGGCAATAGTTAATCCATCTTAAACCTCTAAGCCCTCATAGTTTCCTAACATTTAGATTCACCCATTATACTTGCTTTTAGTGAAATCTTAGGTCCAGTCCATCTCTCCCAGCGTCGCTCTCCCAGCTCTCTCCGGCCCTTCTCTCCTCCTCTGTCTCCCACACCTTCCTGTCCTGTGGCTCCTCCCTCTCTTCCTTTCCATTGCTCAACATTGTGGCTGGTTGCTTTATTTTGGTATGTTTACACAAAGTTGAGACAGGTGATGCTTAGAATAAGTATCACAATGCAATGTCTGGGTTGAAACCAGAGAGTTTGGGAGAGAAATCAGCATTTGAATGAACAAAGGTAAAGTGTATACATTCCAAAAGAACATTATACCAACAGTTCTGGATGAGGCTTCTGTTTTCTTTCACCCCTCCTGGGAACCATGTGACTGGGACAGTGGCGGCTTGGCTTACTCTTGAGTGTGTCTCCCATTTTCCCCTCTGTGCCTTTTGAATGTCTTATCACCATCTCTGTGAATTCTCAAAGTTCTTCTCTGGTTCTCCTTGGAATAAATTATTTATTTCTTTTTCCCTCATTTGGTTCTTCTCCTTCAGTAGGTCACACAGAGGTAGCTTCAAGTCTGCCATCTTACCCACAATTTACTTGTTTGGACACAAGGATTTTGGTTGTTTTTTTGTTTGTTTGTTTGTTTTTGTTTTTTTACTTACATAATTGTTTAAAATTATGTTTAGTACTATGTGTTTCAAAGGAAACATTCTCTCTGCTCTTCTTATTCTTACTGTCTCTGTCCCTGTTTCTCTTTCTCTTTCTCTCTGTCTCTCACTGAGCCAAAGGAAAGCTTTCTTCCTTTACATGGATTTTTAAGTTTTTTTTTTCACCATAACAGGAAACTAACTACTAAAAACCTGAAATTTCATAAACCATGGTAGAATTACTTTTGAAATAACTTTTCTCGAAGATGTGTCTAAATTCTTCTATTGCAAAACAGAAAAGAATATCTGAATATTTCTACCTTCTTTTTTAAAGGGTGGGTTCTCTCTCTGTCTCCTTCTTCCTATCCCCCTTTGTATGTGTCTGTCTGTCTGTCTTGTGTCTGTCTGTCTGTCTGTCTGTCTATTGTGGGGCATTCACCAGAGAAAACTGCTTGGACATGGGTTTAAGCCAAAAGAAAGTCTTTATTAGCCAGCGGCTACACTGGGTATTTGGGATCCCATTGTAGCTCAAACCTTTCTCAGGGTGAGCTTTTAAGCACAAAACAAACAAACATAACAAAACAAAAGCCCACATTCTGGGTTGACATATACTTCAGTTAACAAGAACAGTTAGCCAGAAGTGGAACTACAGAAGCCAGAAAACAAGGTTAATTAAAAACCTTTGGAGACTTTTCTAGAACTATGGAATTTGATGGGTTAGATTTTTGTTAACCTTTTCGCAGGTGGTTCTGTCTATATGCTGAGTTTTACATCCCAAATGGCACCTCCATCGCAGAGTCAGTTGTGCTAATGTGTTGGATGGGGCTTAGGAGGTGCTGGTAAGGTCTTGGGCCCTGTTATAGTACATCTGTCTGTCCATACCTATATGCATGCACGGATGGCTACAGTTTGTAGCCATTTGCCTAACTGAATTCCCTATGGGTGTTTAAAACATAGAGATAGTTTCACCTTCCACCCAGGAGTAAATCAGTTGAATTCTCTAAAGCACGAATTGCATGCATATCATCCACAATGTCTCCAGCGTGCAGCTCACTGTCCAGAGCATAAGAAGTACTAAGTTAGCATTTATCACGGTGCTTTGCATTGGGAGGCTTGACTAGACCAGGCCGGCCGTGTCTTCTGCTCTCTCAGTGTAGTCTCCATTGGTTGTTTTGAGTGCCGATATCTTGAGGCTAGAAGATAATCATTCAAGGCAGAGCCATCGATAAGCATACACAGAACTTCTCTCCTTAGCTTTGTAAGATGAAAAATACTCATGAGACCCATTTCCGATAGAAGAAGAGAAGCGACTAAGGAAGGCTTTCTTACTCTTCCATGTGATGCCTACCTCTGCATTGCTGGGTACTCATGTTCCTCTGACGTGTATTTAGGGTTTTGCATGAACTGCCTGTGAAGATGTCCATACTTAGTTTGCCTTCATGCCCTTATAATGCCCAAGTAAGAACATGTATGTATTAGATTTAAAATGATGGAATGAATTCTTTTCATTTTCAGCTCTCTCTCTCTCTCTTTCCCCTCCCACCTCCCCGCCAACACAGGTGGAGTTCCATCTTTGATTGCTGGTCTTTCTGTTGGCCTTTTGGCTGGCTACGGAGCCTACCGTGTCTCCAATGACAGACGGGATATCAAAGTGTCACTGTGTAAGTGAAATGTTTTCCCCAGTTCCAGAGGATCGACCTGGAAGATGCCCCCTCCCAGATGCTTACTAGAAAATAAACTGTCAAAGTTAAGTGTCTGTGAGTCCGTGTCAAGATTGAGCATAACTCTTGTTCCTTTCTACACAGAACTAAGCAAAAATAATAGCATTCACAGCCTTCTACCTCATGTTTTTTTTTTTTTTTTTTTTTTTATAACATTGTTACTAGACACTAAATCAGAAGGGTGTAGGATTATGACTAGATTTTCTTTTACTTTCTTAGGTGTACATTTAATGTGGATTTCAAGTTGCCATGAAAATACCTTTATGTAGCCTTACATCATTGTGTTTAGACCACAGATCGCTTTTGTGTACAGCTATGCCTTATTGCTGTGTAAAAGAACAAAGCTGGCTTGTTTCTAGTTTCTTTTTCCCTACTCTTAGTAGGAGCTTTCCTATTGTTTAACACTCCCCACACCAACCCAGGGTACGTGGCTTTAGACTTTTGACTAGCAAACATTTCGATAATGTTTGAAATTCTAATTCTTGGTATTTGGGTTTCAGTTACAGCTTTCTTCCTGGCCACCATAATGGGTGTGAGATTCAAGAGGTCTAAGAAAATAATGCCTGCTGGTCTGGTTGCAGGCGTAAGGTAAGATCCACCCTGAGCTACGCTTTCCCACGCCAGGATTTCAGAGAGGTGACAGTCCATGGCAGTGCCAGTCCTGCCAGAGTGCTGATGAGTTTTGTGAATAATTAATTTTCCTGGGTCTGGAGAGTTGGCTCACTTACCGCTCTTGCAGAGAGAGGACCCGGTTTGGTAACTCCGGAGGATCCAACACTCTCTCTGCCCTCCGTGTGCACCAGGGCCACACATACATGCATGCAGGCATTGTTACACGTGAAATAAGAAAAACTTTTAAAAAAGGAATTCATTTCCATGGTGGAGGGGTAGCTCAGAAGTCAAAAGCACTTGCTCCTTTCCTATCAGTTTGGTTTCCAGAACTCACGTCAGGTGGCTTACAACCGCCTGTACCTTCAGGGCCAGGGGATCTGGCAATGTCTTCTGGACTCTGCAGGTACCCGCACATATACACACCTAGGATAAATATAAGCATAACAGATGTGAGTCACCATGGTTTCAGTCAGTCTCTGGTGTGACAACATTCCTCTCTGTTGCACTTCGTAGTGTTCAATCAGAGGTACATATTCATCTTTATCCAAATGAAGAGTTAAGTTCTCCTCAGTTGCTTCATCCACACGTAGCAGCAAACTCATTCAGTGCCCTTTTAGAGAGCTGGACAGTGATGGTCTGAGTCATTGAATTTTCAAGGGAGATAATTAAAAAAAAAAAGTAACCAACCAGGTGCGGTGGCACACGCCTGTAACGCCAGCACTCAGGGAGGCAGATGCAGGTGGATCTCTATGAGTTCCAGGCCGCCTGGTCTACAAAACAAGTCCAGGGCAGCCAAGGCTACACTGAGAAACCCTGCCTCGAAAAAGCAAAAACCTACATAAGCAAATACATAATAAATAAATAAATAATCTTAACTAACATTAATTTCATTTATTTGATTTTTCATTTGGTTGGGTGTTGAGTGTATTAGTTGCTGCTCTGTTACTGTGACAGAATGCCCCTACATCACATCAGGTAAGGCACAGCAGCCCTGGATGAGACAGGCCTGGGAACCAGGAAGTGGAATGACTGCATTCTGTCCACACAGAGAGAACAGGAAGCCAGACAGACTATAAAACCTCAAAGTCCACCCCTTCGTGACATACTTCCTCTAGCCAGGTTCTACTCCAAACAGGAGCCATAACCTTCCTGGACTGCACCACCAGCTTGGAACCAAGTGTTTAAATATACGGGTCTCTTTAGAGAATGGGTCTCTGTTACCTGTTACTGTTTCAAAGCCAAGGCCTGACCCCAGGGCCTTATACATGCCAGGCAAAGCCGTCTGCCACTGATCTACGTCCCTTGCCCTGATCCTGTGATTCTGTCCCTGAAATTAAATATATTTTCGCAAACAAAATATAGAGAAAGTGTTTCTAATTCCTCCTGGAAGCCTTTGTGTGTTGGAAGCTATTAGCATTGCCTTCCTTTGGTCCACATTTTAATTTTTTTAGAAACTTTCAAAGAAGAGGTACACAAAGCCCAATTTCCACTGTGGCTGTATTTCTAATAGAAAATATAATAAGCTGGTAATAGAAAATATAATAAACTGAAAAACTAAAGCTGCCTAGAAATTCACCAGAAAAGTAAGTATATTATCACAGGCATTTACATATCATACTTTAAAAACCAGTTAGTGTCATTGGAAATTAATGATAACATAATCAAATATAAAAACAGGATCAAAACATCCCAAATAAAGTTGGAACAGATGTATAAGGATGACTGTGGCAAAAAAAAAAAAAAAAAAAAAAAAAGGATAAAACATAAATACTTAAAGTATCAGTATTATTTTGCCCTGGGTTATGGCTTCCTGAATAGTTTTATGGTCTTTGTTGCTCTAGAATTTTCTAGTGTGGCTATGGTGATTTTTTTTTTGTGTGTGTGTGTGGAGGGGTTGCCAAGGACAACATTTCAGCTATGTCCCTGTAAAATGATCTTTGATGCTGGGGAGGATGGAAAGTAGGGGTTAATGATAAAGAGAAGACCTCAGTTCCTGACCCTGTAATAAATGCCCTCACTGAATTACTCCTTGATTCTTCTTCTAAAAAAAAGATGTGTGTGTGTTTGCCGTGAGTGCACAGGTGCCTACAGATGCCAGAAGAGGTCATCAGACCCATTGGAACTGGAGTTACATATCATTTATTATGAGCTCCCGCTGTGGATACAGGAACCAAACTCTGGTCCTCTGGAAGAACAGCAAGTGTTCTTAACTGCTGAGCCATCTCTCCAGCACCCTGGATTGTTTCTTCCGAGTTGCTCTTCTTCTGTAGCTTTTGGAAGTTTATATTTCTCCCTGACCTTTCTCCCTTAAACTCTTATTTGATATTTTCAGAACAGTGGGTTTTGATTTCTCTCCTCTGTTCAGGGAATGGTTGTAAGTTGCATCTGGAAAGTTGGAACACAGGAAAAATGAATCCCCAACCCCCACCCCAAGGAGTGCTGTGATAGAGCCCTCACAAGCCACAGCATAGGAACAGGACAGGAACACGACCTTCTTGTCCATCAGCGTGACCCTCCCTTTTTCTTCCTCTTCTTTTTATTCAGCCTCATGATGATCCTGAGACTTGTCCTGCTGTTGCTTTAGCACCTAGAGGAGTGAAGAACCAAACTCCCATCATTCTACTGTGCCTGGAAGGCAAGGTTCTTGCACTTAAAAGAGCAACTTAAATAGAGTGGTAAATGTCTTAATGTTGAAATGAAAATAATGTTGTTCACCCTAATATTTAAAAATAATTGTCAGTGTTTATTTGACAATTTTTTAAAGCACAAATTTTAGCTGTTTCTATTTGTCAGTCCTAGTCTTTAATGAATTGTTATGTAGTCTTTTTGCTTTGCGTCGTTTTATATGTGGAATTTGGGGGTTGTTTTTTGCTTTTGACAATTCCAGACACTTATGACTCAAGTCAAATAAGTTTAGGTTAAACTGCAACCTGTCAGATAATGGGTTTCCTGGAGTGAACCACAGAGAATGTTAATGACTTGTTTACCTCTTTGGTACATTAGGGATTTTCTTTGTATTGTTGGGGTGGAGGAGTGGGTTGCATTGAAGGAATTGTATTCTCAGCACATCAGTGTCCTAACAGAACGTATTCTGTATTCAAATAAAATACATTTTATTTTAAATCTTTTCATTCATTTTTGTCTTTTCTAAAACTCAATCACCCAGTCATCTCTGATGTAACATGTTTCACTGTTAGTAAAAAGGATGTCAGGGGAGTGTTGTTCACACCAGGTCTCCATACTTCTCAGGAGCATCTCTCTCCATGCCCGTCCCCTGTACAATCACCACTCCATTTTAAGAGCAGTTATAGCCTGTAATGTCCTAGGCAGTTTTAGGGACCAGATAGACAATCTGGAGATCCCTGCCCATTTTCTGCTGGCTGGTGTGGTCTCTGGGAATTCTGTCCCTTTCTTGAGGACTCAGTTTCTCCTCCATTAGGGGTTTTAGTGGTTAGCTTGTCTTCCAGGTCACTAGGCTGGCAGCTTCAGTCCTTCAAGCTGCAGCCTTTGTTGACATGGGAAGAGGTGGAGAGCTCCAGCTGCTGACTGGGTAGGCAGGAGTGCTTCCTCTGCTGACTTACAAGCAGGTGGTTAAAATGTCAGCCATATGGAATTGAGAGAGGGAGAAAGCAAACCTACTAGTTGAACGAATAGAAAACTCATATAAAGTTTTTGGTATTCTTTTGAAGATCCCTGCAAAAAAAAATAAGGAAAAATCCCCACTGATCCCAGCTGTGCCAAAGACACCACTTCCCCAAGCCGGGCTGGAAATGGCAGGTGGTTTGCTTCCTCGGCAATAGGCGAGGCTGACAAGGGCTTCTATTCATGCTGTAATTGACACTGAAATAAATTGTATGATTTGTTAAGTAAATATTTACTATGTCTGTACGATGGATGGAAACTTTTAGAAGCTAGTTGAAGCTATGCTGCGTCCTGGACTTTTGCCAAAAGGCAGTGAAAGCGAATGCTTGTGAATGGTGTGTGTGTACGTTGTTGTGTTTTGTTTTATAATCTGAGGGAGAGCAAGGTGGCTCGGCAGGAAAGGTTGCTTGCTGCCAAAACTGTTGACCTGAGTTCAGCCCCTAAAGTCTACAGGGTATGAGGAGGGAACCTATGCCTGGCACTTGTTCTCTGACCTCCTCCACACATGTGCCACAGCAAGCAAAGGCACACACACACACGTAATGAAAACACTTTGACTTCTGCTTACTACATAAAAATTTATTCTAGCACGGTATAGGAAACAGGCCTCCTGCTTGGGTTTTTTGACTCATCCTTGGCAGCATGGCTTATTTCAAACAGGAGTCAGTTTTCCTAGCATGCCAAAGAGCTTCCCGTAGTTTATTTATTCCCATCTCTTATTTCTTTACTAAGACAGCTTCAGGATGCTTTTCTGGTCATTGATCCAAATGCACTGGGAAGTGTCTACTGAGTAACTTTGGCCTCTGTGTTGTTAATACTCAGCTACGATGGTGCTCATGTTTTTAAGAAACATGCCTTGTTCAAACTTGAATATGTCCTTTGCAGTCCCCATGGATTCCTCATCCAGCGGTGGCTTCCTCTGGCTTCCAGGTTGGAGAAATCTGTTAATTGCAGGGATTTGGCTGGTTCTGACCTTGAAGTCCTACAATGTAAAGGGCCACAATCCATGAAAAAAAAAATGTAGCAAGGTAATACAAAGGAGGCATGTTCCAACAAATGAGGGGAAAAATGTAGAACTGTGTATTCCCTGGAGAGATGGCGTGTTGGGTAAAAGAGGACCTGAGTTCGGTTACCTCCTCGGGCGACTCACAATCACCTTAACTCCTGCTCAAGCGGATGTGACATCCTCTCCTGACCTCTTCCAGGACCTGTACTCGTGTGTGTGTGTGTGTGTGTGTGTGTGTGTGTGTGTGTGTGTGTGTGTGTACTGGAGTGTGTAAGCACACTTGTGTGTGAGTGTGTGAGAAAGTGTATGTGTAAATTTGTGTGTGAGTGTGTATGTGTGTGCGTGTATAAGTGTGTGTGTGTTAGCGTGTGTATGAGTGAGTATATGTATGTATGTATATGAGTATGCGCTCGAGTGTGTGAGTATATGTGTGTATAAGTGAGCATGGGTGTTTGAGAAAGAATATGCATAAGTATGTATGTGTGTGAGCATGTGTGTTTGAGGTCTAAGTCTGTGTGTGCACGTAAGTGTATGTGTGTAGGTGAGTGTGATACATACAAATAATAAAATTTGTATTTCGCACTGTGGGAAAGGAGGAGGATCATGGAGTTGTCCTGCATTGTATATTACCAAGTGGTACTGACCTTGTACAATGCAAGTTGCAATATTTTATGAGTATCAAAATATTCATAAGCTATAACTGACTGATCTCATTTTAAGAATGATACTCTAATGTCTTACATGTGTAACAGCCCTGACCTGTAATGGTGCTGTTGACGCATTTTCTATAAAGGCAAACATCAGAGCATCACAGTAAGCGCCACTAGGGGGAACCATCAGTGTTTTTCATGTTGTTAGGTGATCTTTGGAAACAACTTTAGGGAACTGCATACATTTGTACAATGGATGCACTCTCGTTTGTATTCCCATCTCTCGGATATTAGATGCTTCTGGTTTTCACTACTTAAAATAAGCACAAGAAATGCACCAGTGTACGATCAGGAACATTTCCAGAAATACAAAATAGGCAACATTGAAGAAAGCGAAGTGAATCAAATAGCAATTGCAAATAAGTTTATATACTGTTAATATGAACTGAAACAAAACAAAACACTGAGGTTTCACAATTGTGATAAGTCTCCAATACATTAAGATTCGCTTTGAAATTATAAAGTTTGAGAGTTCAGCTGTGTAATCAGAGAAGGTTTGGGTCCCAGTCCTTGCACCAACTCTGAGTCCTGTCTCTCTACCTTGAGGATGGATTAATGAAGGAGTAAAAGTGTGTTTGGTTCTTGGTACAATGGGCAGTCACATGATAAGCTTCATCAGTGGTCACTGTTGTTGTTAAGTCATAACTATGTTACATGCTATTATCTAAAGCACCCCCGATGCTAACCCCGTAGAAACAAAGCAACTTTGTTCTTTGTTCTATGTAGCCGGGGCTGGCTTTGAACTTAAGATCCTCCTACCTCAGCCTCTACAGAGCAACAACTACAGGTGTGCACCACAGCCTTTTAAGGTCTGCCACCTCCCAGGCAAAGTCTTGGGGATTCAATTCCTGCAAGAAGCCCCCGGCAGGTCCCTGAGGTGGTTCAGGTAGCACTTACCTGCTTTCTCATGTTTTTAACCTAGCACATTATATGGAAGGTACCTGCCTATGTGCTTGCTTTCTGGACTTGCTGTGTTTAATGGTGGCACCTTTATATTTCTAGCACAGGTTGTAGCAGAAAGATGACAGTGGATAATCCTTAAACAAGAATGGATGACCTAGTGAAGGAATAAGGAAGCAGCACACGTTCATTCTCTCTGAAGTCCCAAGGCGCTGTGAGATAGCATTACCTGTAGCAGAGGGAAGCCTGAGAGAACACTGGCTTCACATTCTTCAGCCATTAAGATGACTTCAAGTAGTTGTACATCAGCCCAGCTCAGCCGATTGCCCACAAGAAAATCTTGCCCGTGGTCTTTTAGGGCCTGCATGATGGTTGGGATGGAAGAGGCAGAAGGTGAGAGCCACTCTCAACATAGAAATGAAAGTGCTCTTGGTTTGGTAGAAGATCTTTAAGAAGCTATACCTTACTGTTAATCCATTCTTTGCCACCAGCTAGCATCAAGAATCACCCTGTGTCTTTTAGGCCTTCAGCTTAGTTTAAACCCTTAAGTCAGGTGAACACTTTTTACTTATCCTTCTTTGCTTCTTTTTCATCTCCTTACACCTACTCTGTGAGTTAGGCAGCATCCTCGTCTGGCAGCTCTTCTTGGTATGTAGTGATACTCTGGGTGTCCTTACTCCATCTCTAGACAGTCACCTTAGGTGTACCATCTTTAGAAGGTTCCCCGTGTACAGGGAGAATATCCTCACAGGCACACATCCATTTTTCCCACAATTGTTCTTCTAATACAGTTGCAAATTATGTGTCATGTTAAAGTTGATTGAATACAAAAAAAAAAAAAAAAAGAAAAGAAAATGTGGAATAGGTCTCACTATTCTAGCCCCAAGGTTTATGTTGTTTATTAGAGACTTGGACATGCAATCAATATATATGGATCTATGAATGCAAGTTTCGATTTTTACCAGCTATATGCCATTGGTGAAGTTATTTTAAGTTATGATTTCCTCATGTATATGTAGAATGATAATAACTCTTTTTGGAATTAATGAGTATTAAAAGGTAGTACTTGCAAAATGCATATGGCTTCATCTTTGTCCCTCTGTAGAGATGAGTCATCATTGTTATTGATGTTGGTAGAAATGTTGATATTATTACTATTTTTGGCCTCTGTGTTTCATGGCATTATAGCGGAAACATTTGAAAAGCAATATTTGAGGATATAGCCTTGTATGCATAAAGCCCTGGGTTTTATCCTCATTACTGGCACAAAAAGACAGACAGACAGACATAGTGGTGTTAGACATATATGCTATTCACTATTTTTAAAATTAGAAAACAAAATGTTCTAAATTATGTGCTAACTACAGATGAATATACTTTAAGTACCTTTGAAATAAAATTTGTATGGAGACCAGCCTGCAGTATATAGTATTTATAGTTTGATATGTTTTGGAACAAAAAGACTGAAAACTTTTCAAACGTAAGAGAAAAATATAGCTTAAGAAGGTTGGGTGCCTGTAATTCATGACAAATGCACAGTAACAAATAATAGGCGCTACTTGATATGTTCATGAACAGTACATTTATAATTTATGCCCTAATCATTCCATTCTAAGCTTGTCATCCAACTCAGAAAAGGTAATGAAACCAACATTGCTGCCAAGTTTGGAAAATGCACAGGATTTTTTTTTTTTTTTTTTTAAGCAAGAGTCAAGTTTTTGTCATCCACTCCCACACTTGTATTTATGATAATGATTGCACCTGGAAGAAAGAAAGCTCATGTCATTTAAGATCCACCCAGTTCTGGAGTTAGACATGCTGCTTTAAATATGTGTTTAAGGCACAGGGTTTCCAGGAATCACTTT